TTTTTTACAAACAACAACACGGAATAACCACGTTCTGCGTATTCTAGAGAACGTGAAATACGACGGCTAATTTTAAAATTTATTTTTCCAATTTTGACGCTGTCATACATATTCCGCATAAAATATCTCTGACAGTGATAGAAAAACTGAGTGAATGTAAATTATTGCGAGATTCGTGGGTTGAATATAACGTCGTTCTTTGATAGGCGTTGTCCTTGGCGTTGGCGTCGTTGCTTAAACTCCCTTTTGTTCAGTGTTTGAGCGGCGAGTGTCTGTCTGCACTTTCGACCATCCGTTTGTTCAGTTGCGTTGTGTTCGGGCGTTCCTTCGCTTTGCACTCGTTTGGCTGCTCATTTCTCTGCAGTTCCTTCAGTTTATTATTGTTTGGGCAGAAAACATCAGTCTGTTATTTAAACTCCTATTAAAAATTCGAAATGTATTAAAATATAGCTAGGGTAGAAGCTCCTTTGCTTCTTTAATATTTGTATACAATTAAAAGAAGGCATCCCAAAGACGTTGGATGTTTCCTTCCTTCGCTTTGAAACGAAGCGACACATGAACAAATCCTTCACAAAAACATTTACTCAACGCGCGAGTAACATACGAGGACGAACACGGTGCGTTGTCTAGAAATCGCGTAAGAGGGACTACCTTAGGTATAAGGCCTCTTGACTATTATTAAGAGTGCGTCTATGAGAAAACCAGGCAGGATGCAAGCAGTACAGCAGCACAGAAAAAATTTTGAAGTCCCCAAAGATTTTATGGCTTTTCCGAGAACTTTATTGATTACTCTTACTATCCACGTTAGAATAATACGTAATTGGTTTTGCCCATTGCAGGTATTTGCCATCGATTAAAGGTTATTCCCAACATTGTGAGATACGCACTTTACTTAAGATGAAGCCACGGAGAGAAATCAAATTGTCTAGTTGAAATGAATATCTGTGCTTTTAGATTGATAGTTGTAGAACATGATCCATTGGATTTCATTATCACATGGCTTTTCTTGTTGAAGAAATACTAAACCAGACGGTTAATGAAATATGGACAAATTAGTGTCAAATGGCCATTTTTGCAGGAGCTCGCCCTAACTAAAGAATTAATAAAATATTTTGACCTACTTTTTTTGCCACGATCATTCACTCAACAAACCCACATTTGAGCCAAGTTTGAGCAAAATCGGTGATTTGAGCTGTATTACCTTCTGCCAACCTCTGCCTGGTTTTCTCATGCACACACTCTTAACAACATAATCAGTATGCTGATTACAGAGAGGAAAAACGAGTTTCTTGAACTTACTTATAATTTTAATTATATTTTGCCACTATTGCTTAACTTACTTGCGCTCAGGATCAAGAACAATACCACGATAAGTAGCTCGCCATTTCTTTGAAGAATGTAGAATACGTCTGTTGTTGCCTTCTAAGTCTGATATCGATATCGCACCTTTCCTATCAGTCCAGTACAACTGCGATGACATCCAGTCCACCGCAAGGCCATCGCTTTCTATGCCATTGCGGAGTAAAGTGATATTTGTTCCATCGATGTTAGCTCGCTTAATGTTTCCTTCTGTGACGTCACTCCAAAATATGTAACCCAGGTTGAAATGGACATCTATTGCTCCAACTCTCGTTAAATTCGAGATGATTGGATAAGTTGTAGCGCTGTTGTAGTCCAAAGCTTTTATTTCCTGTGGAGTTGCAACTAGGAAACATGGAGACTTGCATGGGACTCCCAAAGCTAAGGCAACAGAAAATGCAACGAAAACAATTGAAAAAAAGTAACAAACAGAAGTTTGGTTAGTTCCGTCGATGGCAAAATTACTTTGACAATTACCGATTACATGTAAACAATGGTCTATTTTTGACGTCAAATGGAGGCCATTGTAAAATATAATTTGAAAATAATAAAGTGTATATTAATAAGTGTGTAAGTGTGTCTCCATTTGGCGCGAAAATATGTTCGGAATTTGGTGCATGGACTTAACTGATAGCCCTCGAAAAACCGTGAGCTTCGAGAAAGAGAAACGTCCAATTAAGGACAAATATTCGAGCATATTTTTGAAGTCAAATGGAGGCTATCGTGTTTATTATCCTTCAAATATTTTCGCAACACTTGCGTTTTGAAATTTTGGCGAATATTACTTGGATACTCCCAGCATATTTAGTCACGTGCCACGGTTGGACCAATCGCTTGCGAGCGAAACAAATTGATGGATTATACTTGTTTATAATGGATGACCCGTGGATTTCCGGAGCACCCGAACTCAAAAACCACGGCTAAAATGTCGGAATTCCCTTACAAATTGCTGAAAACACAAGTGGTCACATGTGTAAGTTACTTAGCCCCATGGGATTACCAATGA